GGCATGAATGACAATTCCAAGCCGTTTTAACGATTCAGGATTGGAGTGGGCACGGCGGGGCCTCCCAAATTTAAGGTTGGTATTTATTGTTCGATAACTTCGATGCTCTCGATCGATCATTCCAGAGCCCACGCTTTTCATGCGTTCAGCTTGATTGGCCTGTTTGGGTGAGAAGATGTTTAAAAATATTTATAAACATGTTTTATAACATTTAATATAAGATCTTGTTTAATTTTTATTTTATTCTAATATAAGATCTTAATCTATTTTGTCTTTTATATTTATGTATTACTTTCAGTCCTTAATATATGACCCTATTTGACTTTTATTTTAATCCTAAATATAAGATCTCAATCCCCTTATTTCTCATATTCTAACAATAGTAATTCTAACCAATTCACTTGATTAGCAAGGATATTTTAGGAAAAACAATAACTATTTATTACAAATAACTAACTTAACCTCATTCCTTAATCTCCTAAAATTAATCAATTAGCTCTTATAATTAGAACCAGAAGTAGTATAAATCAGGATAATTTTCTTCACATATTTATTTTACATATTTGATAAATTATGATTAAAATTTATTTATAAATTATTTCAAACAGAACTACTCCTCCTGTCCTTAATATATGACTCAATTGTTGAGTTGGTTTTGGTTCTAAATATAAGGCCTATTTCTTATATTTATCAATTTTCTCACAATTACCCATATGGATACTTTCTTAACTATAATCAAGTAGAAGAGGAAGAAAGAATATTAAGAAAGATGATTATGATATTTTAGGAAAAACGTGTCATATTTCTTATAATTAATTAATTTACCTAACTTTTTTAATTTAATCAAATTAATTAAATTAGTCTTATATTAAAGATCCAAGAGTGTTATTTACTCCTCACGCACTCCTGGTCAAAGCCAAAAAAAAAGTTTATATCATCTGTGTTATTTTTTTTTACCAGCATATCATCTGTGTTATTATTTTTAAACTTTTTAGTAGACAACATAACAGCGTGACATGCAATGAACCCCGACAAGGTAAAAGTTTTCCGACCAGGTTAAACTGAAGGTTGAAATATTTATAATAATATTATTATTATTTACAATTCTTATTATAATAACTAGCTGAAATAAGTTTATTAAGTTAGTTATTTTTAATAAAATAGGTGTTGCTTTTTGTTTTTTCTAGAACATTCTTGTTAATAATGTGTACTCAGTTAGAATAATCATTTGATGGAATCTTTATATGTGGGACTATTATAAGGATTACGTTGAAAAAATGATTAAATATAAGAGGCAAAATAGATTAGGATCTTAATTTATAATTAATTAAATTAAAAGATAAATTAACTCTTATATTAAAAATCAAATAGATAGTAGTAAAGAACGATGGATTAGAGATGAACACTGAGGAAAATACGTAAGAAAAATGTATTGGAATTTCATGCAAGATGCCAAACTTTGAAGGATCGGTTCCATCCAAGATTTGGCATCTAGTGCCATCATCTGAAACTCCTTATTATTCTCCTGACTCCTCCCATATTTTTTTTTATTCGCGTGGTTATTATCACTCCGTCCAATTCTAACCATAAAAACTAATTAAAGATTTATTTTATATTTAAAATATAAAATCTTAATCTATTTTATCTATGTAAGTTTAAAACTTTTTTTTTTTGACTTCACAAATTTTCTCTCTCTTGAATTATCTTTATTGATTACACATCTTAAAGAAGGTTTCACCTACAAGAGTAATAATTAAAATGGATATTTGAGATAAATCAACATATATTTATTATAAATAACTAACTTATATATTTTTTAAATATTTAAAAATTAATTATTTAATATTTATATTTAAGATGAGAGCCATCACATTATATCTTTGAAAATATCCTCTCAGAAAAATATATTTGGCGTTATTCGGAATAATCCCTGCTTCGTGAAGTTGTTTGTTTCGCGAATAACGGAATATATGGTAACAGAGACGTGAGTATAAAAGCCATTACGCATAACAATTTGCGATTTAAGAAAACACCATAAATGGAAAGCAACCTCAGGCCCCGGGGAAATAAAAACAAAAGAAAAGAAACTCGAATCACCCTTTGCCTGACCGCTGTTAAATATAGATCCGAATTAGTCGGATGAAAATTTTATATTTAGAAACAAATCAATAATTACTTTAGAGGTGAGGCAAAGACCTTGTCCCATCCACTTTTTCTAAACAAATATTTTCAACATCGCGTCACAAGCAATCGATTGTCTCTTGACTTCGGTTAAGGCACCGTTTGGATGCACTTGCAAACTATGATTTGGAAGCCCAAACCATGGTTTGCACAAAATGCTATCCAAACACCCCCTTAAAAACCAAAACCATAGTTTTGGGCCAAATCATGGTTTTGGTTCCAAAACCATGGTTTTGGAAAAAGCAAAAAAATTTTGCTTTGGAGAAAAAAGAGAGAGTGTGAGAGTCTATAGGATATGTATCTTGTTGTTTTTTATAAACATATTTTTTTTATAAACATTTTAATCTTATATTTTATAAATATATATACATATTAATTATTTATTAATTATATTATCTTATGTATTATTAATTATGTTAATAAAAAATATATTATTAACAATTTTATTCCTCTAAATTAAAATATATCATAAAATCTATTTTTTCTGTAATTATCATATTAACTTATTTCTTTTTTAGTAATTTGTATATATAAAAAGTTCTTCTGATAACAACTATCTAAACACTCTCACTTCTCAAAATCACTTTTTCATAAAATCTATTCTTCCCAGAATCTATTCTCCAGAATCAGTTTTTCAAACCACGGTTTGGTTTCATTCAAACATCCTAAACCCAAAAAAAAAAAATCAAATTTTATTGATTGAAACCTAAACTTGGTCTGACCCCCTCTCCCTGCCTTCAACGGAAAATATAAAACTTATTTTATATTGTAATTTATGTTACAAAATTGATATTACACTCAGAACCCGAGGGAGTACTTTTTAATGATAAAAAATAGAATAATTACTTAATTAGGCATAATTTTAATTTAGATGAAATTCATAACAAGCTTGTTAATAGTAATTTAAGGAAGGAAAAAACTTGGCTCCCTAATAAATGCTTATTGTATTTGTTTTTGACCGAGTCAGGACAAGTTGATTTTAATTTTGGCATGAAATTATACAATATACCGAAGTTTAAAACCCAACGTCTGCCCATAAAAAAAAAATGTTTCAAAAGAACTTTCATGGAAAGCGTTAATATATTACTTACCCGTATACGATATAAAAGGCTAATCAATTATTAAAAAAACGAAAGAAAAATTAACCTAACGAGCGGCGCACAATTATATGAGTGCGTTTTCTTTTCGTTTTCGTTTTCTATCTTCCTTTCTTGGCAAAAAAGTTCTAAACATATGAATGAGTGATGCTAATGTCTTAATGAAAAGGGTGAAAGTTATTTCAAAAAATTAAGTGTAACCAGTCACCTAACACAGGCAGAACTCCAAGGATAAATTAGCATTTCGCATTCTGATTTTATATAGAGTTAAGGTGTATCTAATATTTTAAAACATTTTCTCCAATATATTTAGCATCTTGAAATATTTTATAGTGCATCAAGTACCTAAAACTTTTTAGATGCATCAAACATTCTAAAGTATTTTTTCTTTATTTTTGAATGTTGGACGCACTCAAAAAATATTTTAAGATACTGGATAATTAAAAAAATATTTTAAGATACTGAACGTACTAAAAAAAATACTTATAAGTATTAGATGGGTCACAAAATATTTTAAGTGTTGGATGTAGTGGAGAAAATATTTCAAGTGTTGAGTGTAACTTAACCTTTTTATATATGATGTGCATTCATCACCCTAATACTTTTCTTTTACCCCTACCCGGATGTTATTTTTTTTGGTTATATTTATCATCATAATTTTATTTATGATTTAGAGTAATGAATGCACTATAAATAAAATTAGGTGTTAGACACATCAAAAATTTAATATCACGGTGTCAGATGTACCATAAAAATAAAACATGATTAGAGAGTGCAGATACTACCTTGCTCATTTTAATTCTTAGGAAAATTATGCAATTTTAGAGTGCGCCGAAGAAAATTTTCAACCAAGTATTCAAAGAGGCGACATTCTCAAAACTGAAATTTAAAACCATTGATTGTGCTCATGAAGATTATAACTAGAAATTGCTAAAAGTCCTGCCTTACAAAATTTATTACCCACTCAGATCCTTAAAATGGTCCTGCTCATCTTTAGCTTGTGCACACAAGAAGAAGAAGAGTTGCGCACAGGCCATTAAATAAACTTGAAGTACCTTCTTTTGACCCAAAAAAAAAAAAAAACTTGAAGTACCTTCAACAATAAATTTTGTAATTGAGAATTTTTCAGCAACCGTTTGGAAAACAATTTCGAAAAATAAAAAAAATAAAAGTACGGAAGTAGAAATAAGAATAGGTTAGACTTGTAGATGAACGTGGATTGTCATCAGAAACGCATGATAAGAAATTAAAATGGTTTAAAAAAAGAAAAAAAGAAAGAGGGGGTTAGGTCGAGAATTAGAATTTGGAGCTGGGGACATATTCTTTCTCATGTCACATGCACAGGAATACGATGCCCGATCTCACGCTCCCATCACCATAGATAGCCTCCACTGCGGGCCCCACTTACTCAACCTGTTTTCACAAATCTTGGGTATTGCTCACACATTCATTAATAATTAATATCAAAACTTTGTTGAATCACCCCAAATTACCAGCCCAAAACAAAGACAACCCAAAATTCTCACAAGTTTCGTCCTAGTGTTCATTATTTCAAAGCGAAGCCTCATATTTTCCAATTTAGTCATAACACAACATGACTGAATCCAGCCACCTACAATCACACTTCAAGTATCATTTAAATCTATGTCATCTCTTCAGTTCCCCCCCCCCCAAAAAAAATCCCAAACTACCTTTCAATCGCGCACACAATTGTCAACGAAGTGCATAAAAAAGAACAAAAGGGTAACTTCAAAATCTAGGAAAAAACTTGTTTGGAGGAAAAAGCAAGTATTTTTGTTGCACGCAAATCAGATCAGGTCCGAACATTAGAATGAACAAGTACGAAGTAGATGCGTGCATGGATAGGCAAGACCACAAATCGCAGATTTGGCGATTCTCACACACAAATCCTGCACACACAAAGGTGGGGGGTGGGGAATCATAGGAACCTGCAACGGGAAAAAGGACTTCTTTTCTATACTCTGCCCCAAAGGCAGAGATATCCAATGCGATCCTTCCACGTGTAATCGTGGGTCACAGTTAGATCACAAATGTAAGAACCGAGAGAGCTGGGTGGGGTTCACTATGCCAGGTACGTGGGTCCCACTCGCCCTCAACAAGTCTGCTAGTTCCGCGTACCTTTCTTGCTTCTCCGGCTCCGCTTCTCGTGTCTGGCTCGACTTGCCTTTTCTCTTATCGGCCTCTGTGGGGCCCTCTGCCGCTCGGAATGGGTCCCAAGGCTCGCCGAAGAGAGTCCCTCTCGTGAGGAACTCGTGGGCCAGGAAGCCCGCTAGGAGCTGAGTGGAAGAGGTCGGTTCCAGGCCTTTACCGTTGCTGCGGGGTGGCTCGAAGCCAGCTCTCGGCTTATCCGGCTTGAGAGATTTGGTTGAGTTTATGGTCGTTGGAGCATTGGATGATGGGCTGGGCTTGGGCCTCTCAAAGCCTTCATCTCTCTCTTTGCGCTTGTTATTACTAAGGGAAGTGCTAGGCGTTAATACACGCCGTGGAGGCAAACGCATCGTTTTGGTATTCATGGCTGTGTGGCTGCATGACACGTCAGCGCCCAAACGCCGAGAAATTTTTTTTCGACAAAACAAAAAGTGGAGCAAATTTTAAATTCAAGAAAAAAGGGGAAAAAACCCAGGTGGCCAGAACAACTAACCTGACGGTTTTTGATTGGGAAGAAAAAAGAACGAGTAGGCAAAAGCGTAAATTAAGTAAAAAGAAAGGGCAAAGACGAAGGGAAGTGTGTGACGAGCGGAAGGACGGATCAGATAGGGATGAGACGGAATCTGGGTATTGGGAGTGACGCAGCCACTTATAATTTCCGGCAATTGAGAAGAAGAAGAGGAAGAGAGATGAAGAGAAAGAAAGAGACGCGAAACCGACGGGCAGAAGAGAAGAATGGGCAAGGAAGCGGGGGCTTTCGTATTTATAGCGCCGGAAATAACTAATTGCCCTCTTAACTTGACAAATATTACAACCGTACCAAGGACGTTTAAAATGACTGACTCGCCCTCGCTCCTTCGTTCCAGAAGTTTTGAATTTTTTTTTAAAGTCAGTATCAGTGTCGATATAAAATATATGTAGAAATAAATTATGTGATTTTTATTATTTCAATATTTTTAAACAGGATTTATATATTCAAAATATGAATAAATTTTAAATTATCATCTCTTCCATGCATTGCGTGAGAAAAAATTTCATGTTCATATATTGATGAAACAAATTTTCAAAGATAATTTAGACGTTTTAAAATTAGAGTAGCGTTTTATACAATATATCAATACTTTTTTCCCAGATAATACTATAGATCAGTACAATTCAATTATTGTCACTTGAAATCAATCCTCTGATAATTTTGTGAGAATGAATTTAAATATAAATTATTATTTTATATTAAAAATTAATCATCGTATCAAGTATCATTAATCACATTACCGACACACACACACCAAATTAATAGTAACACAAATCCTCGATCAATAAACCAGAAAATCTAATAAAGAAACAAATCAAACATCCGAATCCTGTCTTTTGTTTAGGGATATATCACATATGGATTTTTTAAGAAAAAGATGCAGATTCTTGAAGGGGCATTTTCTATAGAATAAGTGGATTTTCCCCCTTTTTTGTTGGATTGAAATTAAGAAAGCCTTGCAGTGGCTGGATAGTTTGTTCGGCCTGAACAAATTAAATTTAGGTCTAAACTTTAATGTCATACTTAAAGTCACACCAAACTTTACCTTGACCATAATTAAATATCAAAGCCAACCGAAACCCTATTCTGAAAACACGTTTTTAAACATTCTATGGCAATTAATTTTTCTATTGTACAGATAACATGTTCTAATAATGTTCCACTTCAAGAGGAATTCTTTAAGAGAAATTGTAAAAAAAGACCTTAGAATTATAAAAACACAGATAGGAACCATTGATAACTTCACTTTAGGTTTTGACAATAATACTATGTCGTGAAATTGTCAAAACCTAAAGTGAAGTTGTCAAGAGTCTCTATCTGTGTTTTTACAATTCCAAGATCTTTTTTTGCAATTTTCCCAATTCTTTAATCAACATGAAAAAAAACTAAGGTTAATAAAATCTTGGCTTTTCAAGTTTGTCCTGATTTTAGTTTTCATCCCTTAAATTTCAAATTATAAGTTTTAGTCCCTCAAGTTTCTTTTTATTTATAATATTGGTCCATATAATTCAATGAAAATTTAGATAATTTTACTCATTGAGGGATCAAAACCAAAATAACTACAAATTTGAGGGACCAGAAATTATGTTAACTCAAAAAATTAATACAAACTTTCAATCTTATAATTATTAGAAAAATCACTACTTTGCTAAGTGGGAAAAAATGTTTGGCTGCAAGATGCTGGGCTTAAAGAAGTAAACTCGGAGGGAATTAAATTCGTTTTAATGAAGAAGCCTGATCTGGACATAAAGCAGATCTAACTTCACACGCGTGGTTCTCTCTCTCTCTCTCTCTCTCTCTCACAAACTGGACTATATTTAATTTCAAGCATATTATCAGGTAAAAAGATGGGGTATTTGTTTTTCTCGCCTTCAAAACATGCTTTTTCACGCAAAAGGCACACAAAATAACTTATTAATGAATTTCGGTACCCTGCTAAAAAAAAACTTATTAATAACTAATAAGCTGATGCTGAATTAAATTAAAATAGCCGTAAACTGGAAACTGAACTCTATAGTAGATATACTCATAAATCATAATTATGTTACGTTAACATCCGGTGAGTTGCGAATTTAAAGAAAACAGTCATTTTTTATGCCAAAATTATTCTAGGCTTGCAGTTAATATTAATAGTGAGAAAATCAAATATCGAGTCAGGCCCAATTGATAAGTTTTTAAATCTTATTTAAAAACTATGAGGTTGTACGTTTGATTTTGTGAACTGAGTAGATCGTTTTGGACGGAGGGGGAAAAAAAGGGAGGCAAAGAGAGAGATGACAAAGTTGCGCGCTTTGTCAGATTGCATCGCGGATGAATAGGGCCTTATCCCCAACAGGATTAAATCCAATAAAAAAGGTTAGTCGTTCTCAACAAGATAAATTAAAATTTGAATTCTTACCGGGAGAGATGTTCTTATTTAGTGCTTGATAGCACCTGAAATAAAATTACTTCCAATATAATGATACCTATTCGTGGCCAAAAAAAAAGAAAAAGAACAGTGCCTTGCAAAATACTCTTGTTGTTCTTAATAGAGGACATAATTATTAAGTTAATCTTAATCCTAAATGTAAGATCTATTTTTTATATTTATCAATTTTTTTTAAAATTATTCCTATTGATACTTCATCAATCATAATCAAGTAGGAGATTGAGGGAGAATATTAAAGAAGATAACTATGGTGTTTTAGAAAACACATCATGTTTTTTATAATTAACTAACGTACCTGACTTCTTTAATCTAATCAAACTAGTTAAATATGTCTTACATTAAGAACCGAAAGAATTACAGGAAAAGCCAATAAAGAAGGAGCTATATATAAACAGAGCATGGTTAGTGTTTAAAAGAGCAAATCCATTACTTACATAATTTGACAAGGTTGATAGATAGCCGAGCCCCTTAAATATGACGTCGTAGGTTTTAACTAGGTTGTATGCATAGAAAGGTTTTATTAAAAGAGATAAAACCTAGTAGTATTTTGGTGATAGAAGATTAATTTCTAACCCTTGATCGAGAAATACCGTCTGATTTCCTAAAAAAAGAAGAGGAGCGAATCAGTTAGGGGTCCCTCTCATCATCACGGTGAGAGTTATCTTCGATTGAAAAAGAACCTCCTTCCCGTCACATCTCACCACTCACACCAGCCATTTTATCATTTCTTAATTCCTCTTCATTGTATTAACATATGAATCTCTCCCTGTATATATCCACCTCATCAAAATTACGAGTCCATTAATTTCTTATTTTATCCGCACAGCTCAACCAGAAGCAGCTCCTAAAATGCTGACATTCAGTCACCGCTATATATGTTTGTGTGACGTGAAAAACATGGATCAAGTGAGAAGTCCCCATACACATATATATTTTATTTTTTTTATATAAATCATTTCGTTAAATTTATTATATGAATTTATAATTTTGTTCTCAACTTGTTCTTCTGTAGAGTGTTGAGTTTCTTAAAAAGTATGTATGTTAAATAAGTATAAAGTTTTTAAGACGGATTAATGAGATTTACGGGTCTAGGGTTGTAATCTTACACATTGACAAGTTTCATCCAATATAATTTATTTTTTTTTTCCCAAATGTCGTTGTTCTTTTAGTGGCACGTTGGAAAAATTGTGACGGAAAACCTTAAAATATTCACATTGTTCAATATCAAATTCTTTCGTATATGGTCTAATTATCATTTTATTTTTGGCATGCTTATAACACGGGATCCAGTCACAATAAAAATGGGCAATGCAATTATAAACAGTATTTAAAAAAATGTTGAGGATATATAAATAAATATGTGTAATTATTATTTTTTTATAAAGAAAAACATCAACGTCTTTTTGTCACACAGGTGCGAGGGGGAGAAAACTTAAATCTTGCCTTTATTTAAATGTTTTCCATCAAGCAAGCAATTTTAGCCAAACGAATCAAGCAAGTAATAAAGCATCTCTCAAATGCAAATAAACCAACTAATATAATCTCTTTATTCACAGAATAATCAATTAATACTTTAATTTCTATCAAATCAATCACTCAACCAGTGAAGAAAAGAAAGAATAGCTTATCAGGAATTTTAATCACGAATGAAGTAGCAAGTGACCCCTATATGTACATATATATCAATAATTCTGTACATTAAAAACCATATAGTTCGGAGAAGGGTTCTGTACTCGAATGGAAATTTATAAATTCTGCACACTGAGTGTTAATTAGTTAAAATTTAAACAAAAATCTTTGAAAATACGTAAGCAGTTTTTTTTTTTTTTTTAACTCAAATTCAACTATGAGTATAAATATTTTAATATTTTATTCATACTAAAGTCAAAATAAAAGAAAAATACTTAGCCCCGTACCTAATCTCAGCCGTCTACCTGGCTGCGCTGAGGGAACTATAATTTATCTATGTTTTTTTATTGGTATTAGAAGGGGCATCCATCATTGATAGGAGCTGGTTACAGTGAGAAAGGTTTATAATGACTTAAACATGAGTTCTTAAGTTTAAATTTACATAAATATAGAAAATGGATTTAGGATGCTCATTACGTTGTTCCTTTCTACTGGACTGCTTTTTCTATTAGGTTTCATAAAATCAATCAATTTTAGGCTAAAAGTGTATTTTTCTAAAATACTAGTACCTCTTAAACACCCTCGTTTTTTCTTAGACTACAGTTTTAACCCTGAATCGTAGTTATCTCGTAAAAAACAACTGATAAGTGCACCAATAGCTATGCTCAGAATCAATTATTCAAAGGTCTTAGTGTGCCCAATGGTCCCAAATCATAACCAATCAGAATAGGTAAAACTATAATTTATTGTGCATTAATAATATTAAACTTTTTCGTTGGCAGAAGAAATATATTAATTTTTGTTTCCTTTACGTAACAAAGCCACCTAATTCGCCATTCAATAACCACTGGCCAAAAGAAAAACCTCCAATAGGAACGAAGCACACGTTCTCACTAAAAATTTATTTATCAGGGTCATGATTCATGACAATTAAATTTCCCTCTCAATAATTTCTAATATGAAATAAAAACAATACATATCTGGACCATTCCCCCCCTCAAAAAGAAATTTTTTTTTACCCAAACAAAGTCCCCTCCGGGTGACCTTCTGTGCTCATTCAATTATATTTGTGACATATTCTTTAAACAAACTATTATAAAATTTCATTAAATATAAGGCATAGCTTGAACGTTTGAGTCATATTTTGTACATTAAAATTGCCAGTGAATTTAAAATTTTCGTGCACTTTCCCCCCAACATGTGTTTTGTCTGTGACTACATTTTTTAATAATCTGTAAGGTGATATCGCTGGCAAAATGCTGAGAAGAGAAAGCTTCGGTTGAACCATAATTGAACCCAGTTTATATATAATCTTGGAATTGGAATCATGTTTTTAATGATGGGTGATGACCTTTTTTTAAAAAAAAATAAGATTATGATTTTTTGATTAAATAACAACACAATTTATCAGCAGATTTAGATGGTTGAGATTATTTCATTCCATTTTTTGGTTAATGATTACTAACCTATACTTAACAATTAATAAATCATTTTTATCTAGTATACCATGTCTCAAATTAAAATAAATCATATGCGTGTTTCCCCGCATTGGTTATTAGTTAATACGAACGGCATTCATGGTGGCGATTTTTTTTTTTTTGGGGTCAGAAGCATTCATGGTGGGTGGTGGCGTTAGAACTCACTAGTTTTGCTCTGCGGCCTGGCCTGGAATTCACGGAATTACGACTACTTTCCATCATGAAAATGAAAATCAAATTCTTTGAATTCATGCCACTTAACTTATAAAAGAAGGGTACCAGTGGAATCACCATTCCTTCGAAACTGTTTTCCTAGGCTATGTGGAAGTCATACTTTATCAATTTTTTTTTTCAAATTACATCAACAGAAAAAAAAATCATAACTGATCAAATTTGAAATACATCTCATATGCCATCAGACATGTTTTAAAAGTAATTTTATTATACATAAAATAATTATACTAAAAAAATTTAATCCCGATTTACATTAAAATATGTTTTTTGAATAAATCAATAACCTTAGTATTTCATATGGTTCGGCAGATTAATATTATTTCATTATTATTATTATTATACCGCTTAATTTTCAAGCCAAGCGTGCTGGCGGATCTAACCCGAAACGAAAGGGCGGAATAGAGTTCGTAGGGTCCGATATCATTTCTGACCCGGATTGGCTGTGCATCTGCCTCCGGCGAGGCTGCAACCACTTGAGGTACCGATTCCTGAATGAATTGTGTCTCGAGGCGCGTCGGCGTCTAATTGGATATCCCGTTCGGATCTTTGAAATCGACAAGAGAATGGTGAGGGGATTGCTCAACAAGCTCGTATCCCGGACGATCTCCGTCGCCGGGAAATGGCAACAGCAACAACTCCGCCGCCTCAACATCCATGAGTACCAGGTCCCTCTCAATTTTCATCGTTAGTATTCACTTGCAACTTGAGAAAGAGGTTGAATTAAACTGGTTTTTGTTACACTGCCATTGTGCTTCGATATCGTTATCGTTTTGTTTTATGATCGATGGTTAGAAATCTGCATCTAGGAGTTGCATCTTGGTTAAAGACTTAGTTGCCTGTCCCACCGCTCTGATCTTGCGGCATTTTACCATTTTTTCTTTTTGTACTTTTATGCTTTCCGTGTCTTTTATTCGCACATTTCGTTGGGAATCAAGTGATAGATAATTGTGATGTTTGAAAGAAGCCCCCAGTGGACGTATCTGGCATGCTAATTTTTTTGGATCTTTTTAATACAAGTCTAAGTAATTTTTTGCCAATGTCTAATGATCCCCCTTTTTTTCCTTAACATCAGGGAGCTGCATTGATGAGCAAACATGGAGTCAATGTTCCAAGAGGTGTAGCTGTTTCCTCTGTTGAAGAAATAAAAAGGGCAATCAAGGACGTGTTTGCTGACGAAAGGGAGGTAATTCGTACCACTGATGCTTACATAAGTTACTGAACCGGAGAAAAATGGTTTTCTATTATGAAGTTGTTTCCTTATCACAATTATAAGAAATTTGAACTTCCAAACTTCCCCTCCAAAACCGAATGTATTAAACATACTTGTTAATTATTACTGAACTTCTTGAGCGATGAAGAGCAGTGTAATTTTGATTATGATGCAGTTGGTGGTTAAAAGTCAAATTTTGGCCGGTGGACGAGGTTTGGGAACATTTAAAAGTGGTCTGAAGGGAGGAGTTCACATCGTCAAGACTGAACAAGTTGAAGACCTTGCCGGTAATACGTGACTGCCATGATATGTCAATTTGAAGGTTTTCTTGTTCTCAAATGAAATGCCATTGGCATTCATTATATTTGCTTAAGATTATGTTCTGTTATTTTAGCCTTGTCTGAGTCATGGCTGAAATTTTTGTATGCTTGTCTATGCTGTGGATATAAGACGTAGTAATGTTTGGCCAGATTTTTTCATAAGATGTAGAATTCTAACTCCTTGAGCAAGTAGTGGCCAGATTGAACACACGGTCTGATAATACATAGTACTAGATGATAAAAATTTCTGAGGTCATTTTGCTTAGTGCTATTATTGTTCTGATTTGTTGTTATCGCTATCATCATTTCAGGGAAGATGCTTGGGCAGATACTAGTTACCAAACAAACTGGTCCACAGGGAAAACTTGTTAGCAAGGTTTGACACTGTTCAATCATTTAAGCTGAAGCATACCAGCTCTTTTAGCTCGCTTGCAAGTTCTAGGGAGATTGAAATTTTGTGAAGCTGTGGAGTTTGTGCTTTAGTTTTCAAAAACAGTTTGTGCCTGAATGGTTCTTCTTTAACAGTTGGATATTCATTGAACTCAAAACCATAACTTGCTCCTCATGTATATTTGTGTTCAAGCTCACACATTCAAGAGGAAATATTATACTCCCTCTGTCTTATTTTATAAACAATAACTACCATCTCTCCCTTGTTCCTAAATATAAGTAACATTTGCAAGTTGTCTTAAATTTTTGTAGTGAATTCTCTATTTTTCCCTCATTAATTACTTATTTTAATACTTAATATATTTATTATCTTATTTCCCAAACCATCATCTCTCCATCACACATTCTCTCTCTTCCATAAATCTCTTTATTATAATAATTTTCTTATTCTCTCTCTTATACTCTCTTCCCCCCATAAATAAGGGCATTTTAGAGAAAGAACTTCTAATTTCTACACATTTGTTGTTTTTAACTAATTTTTACTGACATTTTGATCTACGTGATGAGCTTTAATGTTGCTTATAAAAAAAGACGGAGGGAGTAATGTTTCTTCTGATTGATATTTCAATTTTTTTGCCCTGGGAAAAGAAAGTACTTGAAAGTATATTACTTAATAGATTATGCTAACCGGAATTCATGAAAAACTAGCCATGCAATGTGCTTGTGTTTCCTTGTCAATCTCTATAATTCGAAGAATAATTGTGGTTTCCATCCTTTTTATTGTAAATTATTAACTAATATCATTTATTCCATATATTATGCGATATAGATATATAACTATAATTATAGGGATATATTTCCTCCTGCAGATTTTATCATTTGACATCCAATTTCTAATTACTGCAGGTTTACCTGTGTGAAAAGTTGTCGCTTGTGAATGAAATGTATTTTGCTATAACACTGGATCGTAAAACTGCCGGTCCTGTAAGTGTCGAATTTCAGTTTGTTACCTTTGAGTTTGTTGTATATGCTAAGTATGACTTGTGCTATCTCTGATGCATGACTCCCCTCTCCTGCTATTGTTGTTTCATTAAATCCAATCAATCAAGGGTGATGTACTGATGTTGCTTCTTACGTTTTTTTTCCCTTTCCTTTGGGGCATTCAAGCTTATTATTGCTTGTAGAAAGGGAGGAACCAGTATTGAAGACCTGGCAGAGAAATTCCCAGACATGATTGTAAAGGTTTGTTATCTTCAACATTTTTCATGATAATATTACTGCTGAAGCGGTGCCTTTGCCTTCAATATATACCTGACGTGCTCATTCTTTTATTAGGTACCTGTTGATGTTTTTGAGGGGATTACGGATGAAGATGCTGCAAAGGTAGTTGATGGTTTGGCTCCCAAAGGGGCAGATAGAAACAAATCAATTGAGCAAGTGAAGAATTTATACAAACTTTTTTGTGAGTGTGACTGCACTCTTTTGGAAGTAAGCACATATAAATCTTATTCATGAATCGTTTGGTCATGTGATTCGTGTCTACCTTCTACATTTTAATTCTACAAAGATTCATGCATGCATAAATGAATCTTCTTGAACAGATCAATCCGCTAGCTGAGACTGCTGATAACCAGTTGGTGGCCGCTGATGCTAAGTTGAACTTTGATGATAATGCTGCATATCGTCAGAAAGAGATATTTGCTCTCCGCGATACATCCCAAGAGGATCCTCGGGAGGTTGGCCTGCATTTCCTTCCGTGTCTAATAGTTTCTAATTTTGATATTTTCGTGTATGATTATTCTTGATTGTTGTGGTTGTAATAAAACTGAAAAATTTGCAGTACAGCGATGTCAGAATTGACAATTTATATGTCATTATTTTTGCTGGGTATTCCTGACCATCCATGCCTTCCATCTGGGACAGGTGGATGCTGCGAAGGCAGATTTAAATTATATTGGATTAGATGGAGAAATTGGTTGCATGGTGAATGGAGCTGGGTTGGCGATGGCCACAATGGACATAATCAAATTGCATGGGGGTACTCCTGCTAACTTTCTCGATGTAGGTGGAAATGCCTCTGAAAGCCAGGTGATGCTCCAGAGTTAGCGTTGTTATCACCGCTCCCATTTTGGCATTAGTCTTAGCTCCACATTTATAACCAAGAAAATTGCTTCAAAAGGATGATATTTGGCCGTTGTTCGTTTAGTTGTTTCTAATTATTATATTTATATCAAGCAGGTGATTGAAGCATTTAAAATATTGACTGCTGATGACAAGGTGAAAGCAATTTTGGTGAACATTTTTGGTGGTATAATGAAGTGTGATGTTATAGCAGGTGGAATTGTAAATGCTGCGAAACAGGTTGATGGAGTCACTCCTTTCAGCACTCGGTTTTTTCCTATGGCATTTTAAATATTTGAGTTTGAAGAGGGACCCTCTTCTGTTCTAATGAACTTTTAGATGATTATGTTATCTTGTTATCTGGGAATCCGGGATCCTATGATCTCAAATGACTTCTATGAAGTCAAGATAATGCAGCTCCTGCTTGTATTTAAGTTCTTATCAGATTAAAAACTAGATTTTTGGCCTATAATGGGGAATTATTCTTTGATATCTCCATTCTTTTTGAAAGATATGGGCAAAAAAAAAAAGAGAGAAGAGGGAGATATATGGAAGCGGAAGTATTATTATTTCTCTCATTCTCTATTTCTTTTATTTAAATCCTCAATTTTCTTTAGGTTCATGTTTTTTTTTATGGATTTATTGAGATTTGATTTCTAATTCTCTACCTTTTCAAAGTTTATACTGATCTTCACCTTCACTTTGCTTATGTATCAAGGTCGCACTAAAGGTACCGGTAGTAGTACGTCTTGAAGGCACCAATGTTGACCAGGGAAAAAGAATTTTGAAGGTAAATACTTGGAATGTAGAAATTTCCCGACTAACGAATCTAGGGTGTTTCCAATGGTTATGTTTGACGATCATGAATTGTTCGGACAGGAAAGCGGCATGACGTTGATAACAGCGGAGGATTTGGATGATGCTGCTCAGAAAGCAGTAAAAGCAGCTTACAGTTAAAGGAGCCTTTTGTTCTAATTTTCACATTCAACGCAGATGGGCTGAAAATACCCATTGAAGCCCAAAGAAAAACATTTTTTATTTTTAAAATTCAAGTGTGGTTATTAACCCAGCTTTTCCAATAAATCGGTGCTTCTCACTCGCATGAGTTTGAATTGATGCTGATAATGGCAATTTGGCTTATTCGGTTTCATTCCTATCAGTACCGATCCTTCTTTTTATTTCCATGTTAATAAATCTTCAGTTAATGTACATTGCAGACTCGTTTCCCTGTTTCATGTTGGGGGAAGTCTAAATGAAGTGCGCAGATTAATTTGGACGTTTCCTAGGTGCAATTAGATATTTGTAAGCACGAACAAGTCACTAGTTTTCAGATGGGCATCGTTTCTGGGGCCTAATTCCTGATAAGTGTCAACAACCGGAGAAGGATCCTAAAATGAGGTTAAAAGGAAAGGAACAAGATAAAGCATTTATTAAAATACATGCATTATACATATGATTACAAATAAACAATTGAAATGAAATAGACAACGAACCCAGCGAATGACAGTCTTCAAGGCCTATTTATCCTTTTTGAACGACTCTGCAATGTTATTTGCAATACAATACGCGGTGGATTGGATGGTTATCATTGGATTGACGCCAATAGCGCTGGGCAAAACACTGCCATCACAGACATACAAGCCTTTTGCTTCCCAACTCTGACCGTTCTCATCTAGAGCACCTTCTTCTTCAGTAGGACCCATTCTACAGCTTCCCATCTGATGAGCAGTCGCATATATGGTCCACAGTTCACCCCTTGATCTTGGACCCCCCACCACTATGACTCTGTCTAGAAACTCCTCCACATCCTCCTCCCTCACCCCTTTACACTTCATTCTCTGTCCATCGCTCCTGAATGTTCCCACTTCTACAGCCCCTGCTCCAATCAGAACTCTCAGTGCCAGCCTCAATCCGTCTCTAAGGTTTTCTTTATCCCTCTGGTCTAGTCTGTACTTGATTCTCCCTTCCTTCAACACTTCTCCTGACCCTTTGTCTCTAGCTAGTGCAAAAATGATGGCAGTTCTTCCATACTTGACCATCCTGTCTTTCATATCTTTCCCTGAAACCCATGGAACATATGCAGAAAATGATCCAGGCGCAACTGCTGGGGTTTCCAAGATGAATCTTGGAGTGGAATCCTCAGCATACACCTTATGGATTGATGTAATGATCCCTCCTTCATGGTTGTTCCCTTGAAATTCTGTCATCTCTTCTGGGAAGTATCCCCAGGCAAATGTAACAGGATGCAGGTGGAGGTTCCTTCCAATGTTTGGATTTTGCAGCCCACTGGAAATCATTAGAGGAGGTGTCAAGAGAGATCCACATGCTGAAATTGTTACCTTCGATTCGATTTGGAGTCTCTTGGACACTTTGCCCCTCAGCGTCCTTGCACTCACCCCCAGGCATTTCTTTGTTCTTATTCCGCTCTTCCTGTCTTCCAATATGAACTTCTCAGCTTTACATCCAGTTATGATCACCGCACCATTTTGCACAGCATCAACCAACCAAGTGGAGTCTGTGCCCTTTTTGTCTCCGCTTCTACAGCCATAACAGCACGAGCCGCAATAATGATCTGCCGAAGAATTTATAGCAACTGACTCGATTTTCAAGCCAATATTCTCACCCCCTTTTCGAAGAACTTGATTCTGAAAGCTCTCTTTGGCACATTTCTCTGTTACACCAATCCTCCTCCAGACTGCTTCCATGGCAGATTGGTATGTGGAGCTTCCAAAGAGCGGAATTTTGCAGTGTTCCGACCATTCCCTGAGAACGGAATCAGGTGTTTTGATGGATGCAGACCAGTTTATAGCAGAGCCTCCTCCCACAGTTGAGCCAGCCAAGATCATCATTTTTCCGTCAAGGGTTGACAAGATCCCACCTGATTCATATAGCTCATTGAAAGATGGGCCTTCCAGGGAAGAGTAATCTTCAGGCACAAAGTAATTTCCTTTCTCCAGAACGACCACTTTCTGACCCGACCTTGCAAGAATTGCAGCCGCAACTCCTCCCCCACAACCAGAACCAACAACTACAACATCACATTTGATCTTGTACGTGTTGTTCTCTGCATTTTTACTGACTTGAAGGCCTTTTTCTGTGAGGGACTGCAAAACAGTGGTATCACTTTCCAGCATAGTCTCAACTATTCCTTTCTCAAGAGGCCTCTCCTTCAGCTTCAGCTTCTCCCTTGTGTCCACTTTGTATTGAATAGCTTCCCACGCTGCGTTATTCCCATTTCGATCTATCTGCAGCGATTGGAGAAAGACAAAAGCTTATTGCAAAAACACCATAAAGAAACCGCAAAAGAAAGGGCCAAACTACTGCGAAGGATGGAAATGGCTTTTTCTCACAATGGAGGCGCAGAGAAAGTTGGCTAAGTGAAACTATCGAGCATCTAGTTAGAGTCAACATGAGCTTGTACTTCTGCGCCTAAAACGCTCGTTAATATAATATTTTTATGAATACCTTATTGCTCAGTCATATGTCCAAAAGATCTTTCGTGAAAAGCTGTACTTTATAACCCCACACAAGTGACGTGAATCTTATACCTACACGTCATCGTTGACAATTTACTTACGAATGACATGAAGAGCAACGCTAACGAACAAAACTACAGTAAGGATGGGTTGACGGTTTTGAGAATGATGAGAAGCACTACCCTTGAGAAAAAATTATAAAAGACGACGATTTTGATGATCAAGAACACAATCCGCAGAGGGACGAGACGCTTTTCCCTGGACCAGCGCTGCAGAATCTGTTCTCTCTTGTCCAGCGATAATTCGGAGAACTTGTGAACGAATGGCCACTTCCGATCCATGGCAATTCTTCCGCAAAGCAACAACGTTCCCAGTCTAAACGACAAAATCCGCAGAACTGAGCCCACAACAAACTGAGCCTCCGGTTGAATCCTCTTGTGTAACAGCTCCGCTGCCTGTAATTCATTCAACGAAGCAAATTAGAAATTAGCGACGAATCCAGAATACAGAGACAGAGGCCATCTTTTGTCAATGTGCTAAAACGGAATCATCCTAAAAAAACAAAAAGTCGTCAAAGATTGATCTGACTGGGAGATTGACCTCATCGGGAAGAGAAGCCTGAGAACCGGAGGTTCTGTAGAAGGACTGAAGGGAAGGGCATTGAGGGGCATCGTGATGGTCATTGATAGGAGGCAGAAATGCCTCACAGAAAGCAGCCAGAACTTGCATCTGGCTTGGAGATAAGGCATGGCCATAACCTCTTTCCTCTCTCTCTCCACTCAACAGAGGGTGACTCCTACTCTCACTCATCTCTCTGCCCCTTTCTCTCTCTCCTCTGTATCTTGGTTAAGATTGAGGTAAGGCGCAAATGTGATGGAGGAAACTGGGAGGTGAGGGGTTTTATAGGCAACAGAGAGATGAGATAGCAGATGAGTAATGCGCCGTCTCATTAAGTGGTTAGGGGTTGGAGTCTGTTTTTGAGAATGACGTTAACCATCTTATACGGGGTCTCCAACGTTTAATATAAAAACTAATTCATTAATTGAGTAGATTAAAAAATTAATTAAATTAATTATCTATAATAAATAAGTATTATTTCTTTTAAAATATCCCTATTAATCAAATATATTAGTTAGAATTATTATTATTATAAAAATAATCTCTAAAAAAATGAGGGATAAAATGAATTAAAATATTATATTTAGAATCAAAATAAAATTTAAACAAATTTTTATATTAATTAGCCAAAAGTAGGTCCGAAGCCGTCACAGCTCACAAGAGACAATGCTGCTTAAGAGGATAAGCATATTTGATATTTTAAAAATTGGAAATATCAGTAAATGATTAAACACGTCATCTCGGTTGTGACCTGCAAAAAAGCATGAATCGTAATTTTAAGAGATTGGACCGTCAAAGTTTAGAAGATTGCAACCACAACTTGGACTTATAAAATTAGGGAAAATTACACTCACATCCCATGGAGCACAGTTAATATCAACAAAATTCCTGAAAATCGCGAAATGATTTTGAAGTCCCTAGGGACCTGTGTGTAATTAATTCTAATTATGAAATTATCTACTTATCCCTGTTAATTTTATTGCAACAATTCATTTACAACCTCAACAGTGGCTGTTGACAACCCGAGAAGAAGTGGTTGACAACCTCGGTAGTGCTCCTGACAACTCACTTTGTGGGATGTTAGGGGCATTGCTGAGGTTGTTAACCACTTTTTCTCGGGTTGTTAACAGCTACTGTTGAGGTTGTAAATAGGTTCAAATTAACAGGGGTAAGTAGGTAATTTCACAATTAGAATTAATTACACACAGGTCCCTAGGGACTTCAGAATCATTTCGCGATTTTCAGGGACTTTTTTGATATTAATTGTGTTCTGTGGGACCTGGTGTAATTTTCCCATAAAATTACTGGGGGGTCGTTATTTTTGTCCTGCGAGTCAAATCATGATGATGATTAATTTTAAAACACCATTATCCTGCTTATTTGATTATTCTGAAGTGTTTGTTGTTTTCCCACATGCCTTGCCAAGGAGGTAATTGTCATCTATGCACCATACATTTCTATGGTTCAAATAAACAAAGTATGACTGATAAATTAAAATAACATATATATTTATACCCATCTGAATGGCCTTAAGCTTAAACAATAAATATTTAAGACATGACTACGTGTAAATTACAATAGCATGATTACACGTGGAAATTGTAACATACAGAAATTTTGACCTGTGTATTTATGGATGCATGCAAGAAACTAGGGTTTAAAAATGAAGTTTCCGATAAAAAGTTTGAAAAAATTAAGAGACGATGTTGTGGAAGCGAGGAGTCAAGTTGAAGGTTATAGGAACTAGAACGAGACAAGGTCGAGTGAAGAATAATACCAGGGTTCAAAATTAAATATTAAATTAGGAAATTCTAAGAGTAATTTTAAAGGAAACATTTTCACAGTACACTGGAAAAAACAATTGAATCAAAATATTCTCTCTGAAAATTTCAATAAACTCTCTTAGCAGTTAATTAATACCAGTCAATTCTTAAAAAATTTTGAAATTTCACTGCATCTCCTGAACCAAAACTTTTTGTGTGAAAAGACAAAAATACCCTTATTTATTTGAGTTGAAAATCGCCGAATTTGCGTTGTAAATTCCTGAATTTTTATTGCAAGCCACAAAATTCTTGTTGTAAATTATTGAAAATTGTTCATTCACACATAAAATTTACAAAAATAAAGAATCCCTTTAATTCTTAATTTGAAAAAAAAAATCTTAATTGAATTAAAAAAAAGGAGTACCCTGAAAATTTTAAGAGATTTCTTTGCTTATGTATCATTCTATTTAATCTTTGCCTCGAAGGTGAAGGAGATTTACTGAAATTTTTCCACTCTTTCACCTGATGACATTTGTTATATGAGTTCGTCATGTGATACAAATTTGGCGATTTTCAACTCAAATAAAGTAAGGATATTTTTATCTTCTCACACAAGAAACTTTGGCCAAGTAAAATTTCAGAATTTTTTGAAGGTTGATTAATTGAGTATTAAAGGGGTTTAATAAAACTTGGCCACTTTTTTCATATGATGACATTTGTCATGTAAGTTTGTGATGTAATACAGATTTGGCGATTTTCATCTCAAATAAAATAAGGGTATTTTTATCTTCTCACACAAAAAACTTTGGTCAAAAATAAAATTTCAGAATTTTTTGAAAGTTGATTAATTGAGTATTAAAGGGGTTTAATAAAACTTGTCCACTTTTTTCATATGATGACATTAGCTATGCAACTCATAGTTTTCGTCGTGCAATTCTATATGGTGTAGGCCCAAAGAAAAACTCGTCGGATTCCACGTACGCTTTGGAATCATTCAATGTCGTTTCCTTACTGGCACAAGGGTTGGGGAATGCAGCCGTGCTCAGAATGCAATGAATCTAAAAACGTGAGGCTGTTTTAAGAAGAACGGACGAGCAACTTGGGGTGTGCTTCCAGACGCACTTTCGGAACGAAGCTAATTAACGAAGCCAGACCCTGAAAAGCGCCACCGCCCAATGAGATTCCTATGTACGATGCCTGGTTCCCGAAAAGTTTTATTTTGTTGCTTGCCCCCCAAGTGGTCTCTGTTTTCCTTGTCCATTGCTTCTGTTATTTTTGTACTCCTTTTCCAAATTTAAAAGCCTAAATTGATCAGGAAAGGTGGAGGAAAAGAGCTGAGGATATGTTAACGTGGATGATTTGGATATCTGTGCGACCAATGAATGATTTGTTTTTTTGGCTGCAACAATGAATCAAAATTGATATCCACCGAAATGGGGAAAGTGATGCTCAGACGTAGCGCCAATATTAAGACAGCATCACGCGACTCAGCATTTAACGGTGAAACCGTTGTTACTGTGCGAATGAGTGGACTTGGTTTGTTTCTATTGCGCATTACTCTTTAATGCGTCTTTACAATTTTGAACGGTGCAAATTAGCAATTTATATTTATAAAAATTATTTAATATAAAAATTATTTAACTAATTTGAATTGATTGATAAAGTCAACAAAATTATTTAATTAATATGTATGAGATATAAAGCGAATTAAAAAGGATGTGTCTCCATTGTTAGGGGAGAATGCGTGCTCAAAATGTATTGAATCTGAGGTCCAAACTTTGCTGGCCTATTATGTGGGGTCTCTAGAAACGTCTTACTGTCCCTAGAGCGATTCCTATGTACGATTCTCCCCTCTAACTCTTCTACCTCTAAAGTTTTATATTTATAAAAATTATTTAATATTTTCTCTAGTTCTTAATATAAGGGTTTTTTAAAATTTAAATTAATTAATAAAATCAAATAAATTATTTAATTATAATAAATGTGACATAATTTCTTCAAAATACTCATATAATATTAAATTATACCTTAACTTACAAGTTAAATATATTAGTTAAAAAAAAGAATAATATAAAGTGAATTAAGATATTACATTTATAATAAATTTTAATTTTCAACTAACATAAATATCAGGACCGAGGATTGCCAAGCAATAAATTCAATCCAATTCAACAGTCTCCTAATCACAGGATGTGTCCCCATTGCCGGGGAGAATACGTGCTCAAAACGTATTGAATTTGAATCTAAGGTCTAGACTTTGTCGGCATACATGTGGGGTATGTTTTTGCCTAACTAGAAGCGTGACGCTCACTATATATATATATATATATATATATATATATATATCTATTACTATATAAAAGTAGGGTATAAAGCAGGATCTGATGAGAGATTGCCAAATAGCCTCACCATGATACAGATAAATAGGTTTTATTTTTCTATTTTTGTAAAAACTGAAATTTTATGCACACCTCCCCTATCTATGCGTTTCTCACCCTATCTTGATAAAAATTGGCAGTTATCTCTCATAATGAATTTGCCACTTATGTCACATTATTTCTATTTAAATTATTTTAGTTGAGTTGTTATTTACATTTTAGAATTAAAAGTTATCTTAAAAAAATATCTTAAATTTAAAGTCAACAAGAGTTATTTATTCCAAAAATATTTATTGTTATATTCTCATTTGAATTGCATGAAATAACTTTCTTGATTCTGAAAATCATGGCAAGTATAACAACCATGATATATTTTTAAAATTTGAAATTTACATTAATTTTAGTGTTAATAAATATTTTAAATTTTAAATTAGATAATACAAAAATAATAACTTCCCAATCCTATTAACCAATTATCTTTTTATCTATACAGTTTCAACAATTTAAAAAGATATTTAATTTTTCTCAAACCTTCCTGTTTTTTTTTAATTTTTTGCTTCTTCAATAATTTTAAATAGAAAAATAAGTGTGAGCGTTATTTTATAGATGAGAAATGGCCATTTCATCATTTCTTAGTTAATAGAATGGTTTAGGATTTTAGATTTTTATAACTGAAATATCTAAAATATTTAGTTTTTAAAAAGTATTATATATATTATCATCAGTCAAATAATATTCCAACTTGAAAAACATAACTGTCTAAAATGTAACTGGCAACTTTAGAAACAATAATATTGCATCAGTGTTATTTTATCAACAACAACAACAACATTTACTTAGATATTTAAAAAATAGAGTAAGTGAAGAGCGTCCCAATGAAAACAATGAATGCCCCTTTGAGTGTGATTGGGAGGAAAATACATTTCATACTTTGAGAGACTGAGGCAGCAAAAAGAGTATAGTTACTTATCATTAACCCTCATTATTATTCTGTTTTTTTCTTTGGAAATTTACAGGTGTGGTTGTGGTGGAACATGAAGAACAACCCAGGAGGCAAGAAATTTACAAGATGGTCGTGCAACAGAATCTTTGGAACCGTTTGCCGGGTCATTTGGAAAAACAGA